GTGTTGACTGTTGTAAGTATTCCTTACTGCTTGAATTTAAATTATTATCAAACTCTGTTTGACAAATTACATTAATCCCTTCTTCTTCCTGTACATTTTTACACACGATGAAATACCAACTTCCTGTTCAGTTATTTGGAGTAAATCCGATGACTCTGTGTGGACGTGATCTGGTTTCTCTGCGTTAAAATACTGAATGATCATATCACGTACACATTGATTAAAGTCGTCAATGGTACAGTTTTCACTGGTTATTTTTGTTTTTATCATTGATATTATATCTGGGAGATCTTCCTCTAAGAAACGTATGGTGTTTTTTCCGTTAATCAAAGAAGACGAAGTCGTGTGGTACATATTCAATGTATAGTGTCCAGAAGTATGAGGAAAAAACCTTGTATCTCATTTCTATGTTGTTTGAAGCTTTTATCATGTACGATAGTTTTGATTACCCTTCCAGATTTTTTCCTCCTTTTTGATTGGATATTGGTCACCCGAAAGAAATTGATGTTACCGAGCCAGACGGGTAATATACACACAAAATTTCCCCGTTGGGTACCCCACGTTGTAAACAACATGCGCTGTGGCGATGCGCGTACGGTTTGATTTTACGCGATGTAAATTCCGATTTACAAGCATTTTTTAACTGTCAAATGATAAATATTTACCAAAATAGAATAATGATACATATTCTCATCAGTATTGAAAACAAATATGACCTTGTGAAAGCTTGATAATAATTCCAAAAAAGTGCGTTCAACAGACTATTCCTTTTCTCTTGTTTACATTCGTTAGGTTCGAAAGAAAATACGTCATGTATTTATGTGACGTCATGTATTGTACCCTAAAGGGAATCTTATTTCGACGTTTCATTTGAAGTAGCAATGATTTATATTAAAATCGTCTTAACTCGGCAGGGGAAGGGTAATAAAATTATTATTTTGGTTTTGGAGTGATATATGTGGATATATTACCTGCCAAGATAAAATATCACCCTCGCCTAACGGCTCGGGTGATATAAAATCTTGACAGTTAATATATTTACATGTATCACTCCAAAACCAAAATAACATATAATATATCCAAGCAAACACATGACGTTAAAATAACGTCGGATTAACGTTAGATTTTGGTCACGATGTCGGCGACCAAAATACGACGCAAATCTGACGTCCAAAACCGATGTCTATTAGACGTTTCTTTTTGGCGTCGTACTAACGTCAGGGTCTGGTCGGTGTCCTGACGGTAGGTAAAAAATTAACAAAAAATAATCCTTATTCGCTATTGTAATCATTTAAACTTTTTTCAAATGTTATTTGGCTTACAAATTAAGTGTGTATATATACACTTAACAAAACTTATAACTGTGCAGTTTTTAAATGTGAATAACTTTTTTATTACTTGACATTTTTTACCCAAATTTTGGAATTCATCGTTTGAATGGTTTATTTTACAATGCTATATTCAGAAATTACGGTTATTTTTGTTGTGTGAGTTCATCCGTGACATGACATAAACAGCAAAGTGCACGTGAGGATGACAGGTTGGCGCTAAATGAAGTTATTATTGACCATCAATGATTCTATTAAAATAAAGACATCCAAAAAACATAAATTTATTGCAGAATTTTTGCAATTGAAAGAAAAATGGCCGTCTAGAAGTTTTACGCAAGGGAATTTGCATTTCGGGCGCCCATTTTGAAAATAAATTTGCATAATATTTTCTCAAATAAACATATTGACTAAGATTTTACTTTAAAACTAAAAACAAACTTTCTTGGTACTTTCATATTAATGAAAATATCGTGTTTGCATTGCTTTTAGTAACTGGGTACAACGCGTTACGGAGATCGACATAAACCAGTCTTTACTGAAATTCAATAAAGCAAATATTAAAATCACAGTGACATAATGCCCTGGAATTCATTGTAGTATTATACCCTATCGGTGATCCTATGTTTTATGTTTGTATTTTAGTGAAATCAAGATATTTAGACCTTTTTGCACCCATTATAAACACGCATTTTACAGAAATGTGAAATTCGGTTTTCGCGCGCTATTTCTCAATAAATACGAATCGCTCTGACATAAAAATCGATACCCATCATTGCACATATCTGTACTATACTTGGTACCTATGTTTATAAGTATCTGAGAAAATTTGATTTTTATACGTGCACAGTTATAAGATTTGTTAAGTGTATACAAGTGCCTTTCGGAGACCAAGTGCGCGGCGCTGCAACCTAATAAAACATATAGGTGGCGCTGTATATAGGCAAGATACATGTGTTATTGTTATGAAATCTTTTTATAGTCACAGATCTGTTTACGAGTTCCAATCATTTAACGTTATAATATTATCATTTGTGGTATCAAAATCACGAGTTTTTAATAATGCTTTAACATTTAATCATAGTGACAGAAAAAAGAAAGAAAACATAATTATAAATCGAATCTACAGCCACGTGGATAGACAATTCAAATTCGTAGGCGTTTCGTACGTTTTGGCGGTGTGTCAGGAAACGGGATGCATTGATAAAATGAATATTCTAGATTTTCTTGAACAAAAGGTCAGTTCAATTTATTTAGATTTATTACTACTTTGTATTTGATAAATAGTTGCATGATTGCAAGCATTCTTAAATTTAATTATCATTATTTGAAAAGATGAAGCAAAATGTCACACAATTTCGCGATAATGTCTGATAATAAATCATTTCAAATTTGGCATGTTTTAACTCTGCTCGTGAAGAGGTTATAATGTGCCTTTCAGTACTACCAAACAGAATGCTTAGTTTTCATATTCTTGTTCAACTGTGATGTTTTTGTCAGTTAAAATTGAATTTGTACGATTTCAAGCATTTCGGACCAAGACGTATTGATTGATTATCTAATTATGATTTTGTAATATAGACTGATGCTTCATTTAATCATTAGTAGGAAAAAAGTAATCAAAACAGAACATAAACTTTTTAACAAAACGTAGTACATAAACATACATTTATTATCAACAATTTCTGTACAATCTTTAATTTGAAACTGTTAAAAATTTAAGACTTGCGTAACTGTTCTATTTCAAAAGTAGAACATACATAAGTTAGAATATAATATTCTTTTCAGGTAGTTCAAGTGTTGGACATGCTCTCAAAGGTCGGAGGGACAGAAAACGTGATAATGTAAAAAGAAACATGGGAAACTAAGATTTATGTAATTTTATTACATACTATAATCCATACTAAACTGGAGTTTTAAAGCGGCCTTTTAAATTTTCAGCATTTATGTTTACTTTTAGTTTTTGATAAAGCTCATTTCTAAAAAGCTAGCAAAGTTGTTCATTAAGTTAAGATAACTTTCAAAATTTCTAAAGGGCAGATAACCATGAAAAACATTTTTGCTTGTTATTTTTTCCATTTTTCATAAATTTCTTTTTTCAGTGAAAATGATATCACAAACGCCATTGGACATTAACAAATCCTCCGGACAGACGAAGGGTGGTGAGAGAAGGTCATATATCTAAAAGAATCACACCTCCAAATTCGTGCTAATTTGTATAACTTTGTGAAGTAACTAAAAGGAAGTAATTTATACGTTAGTGACAATTATCAAAAGGAGGTCAAAATATGCAAAATAGCACTAAATGTTTTAGTAATGCTGTAGAAATATAGTTAAAATACTGAAAATCTGTCATTAATTGCTTGAAACATTATTACCCGAAACTGGTTTGATTAAGGTCGGAAAATGGTCAGATTGAGGTCGGAAAAGTGGTCAGAAACTGGTTAGGTAATGGTCAGATTTTGGCCAGAAAATGGTTAGATTCTGACTTCTTGCATATCAGACAGGATTATCTACCGTTTACACCGGTGCTAGAAAATCCTGTCTTACACCCCCATGTAAGACAAGTCGCGTACTTTAAATGACGTCATTGCTGCGCGCCTTTTATGAATGAATTGCGTTCTTAGGATGACGTCACTTAACCGTCATGAATGAAGTTGTACGTTCATACGCTACTATAAGAAAAAAGTGCGTAATGAGAATATCAGTTTTCGTAATTTCTGTTCTGAAAATAATTGATATGCAATATGCAAGAAAAAGAATCAAACACCGGCTGTCGGTACAGACGGGAATATCTAGCTCTCGGGCAACTGTTTAGCGGAAACTCGGCAGAGCCTCGTTACAGCCTTAAACAGTCACCCTCGAGCTAGATATTCCGGTCTGTACCGGTAGCCGGTGTAAGATTCTTATAGTCTACCTGACGTCAGATTATTATGTCAAAAAAACTTTTAAATCCAACCGTTTTTCCGACCGTCATCCGACGTCAGACTGAACCTGACTTTAATCTGACGTCAGTGTGACATTTTGTGTTTGCTGAGTTTTTACAGTTAATTCCAATTTCAGAGTTTGCAAAATATTATTCAGTAAAATTACGAAACAATTCATACATACCGGCATTGAATTTCAATATAACACCACCGACTTTATGTATCAATTCAAATATTTCATTTTCCGATGCTATAAATTTTTTCTTCATAATTAAGCTTGTAATTGCGATTTTCTTTGTGTTTGTTATTCCCATCACATTTTGTAGAAACTATTTTCATTAGAATAATTGTTTTCACAAATATATGATTCCGCTTCCATTTTAAGTCCACTACCTTCCCTTTCTGCTGTTTATAGTTGTTTTCTAAATTATCTAGCTTTGTATTTATTTCTATGATAATTTGGTCCACTTCCGGTTTGTTCCGGGCGAGCGCAATAGTTTTTAACTCATAACATCGCTTAAAATGTCAACTGAATTATTCCATTGTTGTATAAATATGTTCAGAGTAGCATTGCCTTTCAAATTAACTAATTTTTAAATCACTTCAAGGCACTTGATGTAAATAATTTAATTTTTCATTTTGATTAACGTTAGCGTTTTTAAAGTTGTTATCCGGACGTGACGTCACAATGAGGTCTGAAATGTTGGAAACTTGTACATGCAAATATGTTTATATCTTAACTTACTTTCACCATCTTTATACCACGTGACAGTGGGTGGAGGGTTGCCAGTTGCATTACAATATATAGTCAGCGTTTCTGTCTCCATCACTTCAACATCTTCTGATCTTTGTATTCTAGGAGGAACTGAACAAAGAGAGATGTAATTTAATGAATTAACACACGGTGGGTAAACGACTTTATCTTAAAGTGTAATCTGATTGGTTATTTATCTCGTGCGCACGACTTAGTTATCTCGTTCCCACGACTTAGTAACTCGTGGCCACGACTTAGTATCTCGTGGCCACGACATAGTATCTCGTGCGCACCACTTAATTATCTAGTGGCCACGACTTAGTAATTCGTGGCTACGACAAAGTATCTCGTGGCCACGACATAGCATCTTGTGCGCACCACTTAATTATTTTGTTGCCACGACTTAGTAACTCGTGGCCACGACGTAGTATCTCGTGCGCACGAGATAAATAAAAACAGACACATGTCACCTCTGTGCCACCGTACTAATCCCTGATAGGGGCGTAGTAATTATTTTAGTACAAGACATGGAGGTTAAATCACAATCGAACTAAAATAGATTTTTTTTATCTTTTGTAAAATTATTTACAAAAAAATCGTATATTATGATAAATACAACAGAACGTATGACTTTACTTACATAAGAAAATCTACCAACCTTGTACAATTACAACAACAAATTTCGTCTGAACAGGATCTGAGTTAACTTGACATCTATATTCCCCGTGATCTGTACTGCGTACACGCACAATACGTAAGTTCCATTCGTTAGGATACGGGTGTGAAATCACAAATTTCCTGGGGTTCATTATTACATTTTCGTTGACACTAATGGTACGATCTCTTCTGTCCGTCCATATGACCTTGACATTAGAAAATGAGAGGGGAAAAAACATTAAAATACATATATTTTCTTCTATCAGTATTGAAGAATTGACAATTAAATAAGTAATGATATTCATCTCCAAGTAAGCTGGTATTGCACATAACACACACTCTTAATTATATTGGTATATTACAAAATCTACCAAACTCAACAGGCAGTTCACGATTCATACATCTAAAACGCAGTAGTACTAGTACTATAGCTAAATGAGATGGTAAAATATGTAAAAACTTTTCAAATCTGAATTCACTAATACAGACATTTACTGGAGTCTGATATTTAACTCTGCCAATTTTGAATGAATTGATCTTTGTCTATTTTTAACAATTTTCTAAAACAATGGAAGAGGAGTGGCAACATTATTAAACCAATACATTTTTTTTTGTAATTTGATAAACCCAGTAAATCTAGTAATTTACAAATGAGAGTTTCAACACATTTCTACAATATAAAGTGTGTGACATATCATACAAGAAATGGCATATTGATTCTTGTTTGCTACTATAATAATAATAATAATAATAATAATAATAATAATAATAATAGTAGTAATAATAATAAAGACTTTATTTAACGAGAGAACTCATTTTAACAAACATATCAATCTTCCATGAGGCCCATGAGGCCCTTAACAAGGAACAATATAAATTTAACATTATTCAAACTATTAAAATACATACATGTAAATACATACAGCTATTACAGGAGATTATCAATTTGTATATATCAATGTGTGATAATACCTCAAGTATAAGGTTTTAAAATGGTTCACAGTTGTAGCAGACTTGATATAATCAGGAAGGCCGTTCCAAATACAAGATCTAGAATAAACAAAAGACTTAAGAAATTGTTCAGTATTTGGCCTAGGGGTGTAAAGTTGAAAATCAGACGATGAACGCAAAATACGAGTATGAACATCTGACGATAAAATGAAATTATTCAATAAATAGGAAGACGCCTGATTATTCATTATTTTAAACATCATAATAGCTTTTTTGAAAAACAACCCTCTGTGAAAAGGTCATCCAGCGGAGTTCAGAAAATAGTTCAGCAGATGGATGTCTAGAATTAGTCTTTCAGCTCTCTTTTGGAACTTACTGAGTTTATCTTCTAGAAAAGACGTACAGTTATCGAAAATTATGCAACAATATTCAAGATGTATAAAAATATATGTATTGTAAAACATTTTTCGTACAGGTATAGATATGAATAATTTTATAAATACGAGATAATAAATGTAACAATGAGTTTCATTTTTTAAGAACATTATCAATATGGCTTTGCCAAGACAAGGTGTTATTAATTGTAATACCCAATAATTTTTTCTAATTTTTCTTTAGGGCTACAAACAATTTGCCCTGTTTTATAAAAAACACAAGGATTACTTCATAAATATAATTTTGCTTGTGTTTTGATGAAATATACATGACCTTAGTTTTGTTAGCATTGATAGACTAAGAGATTCAACTACCCTGTTAAGGGATACATCAGAGGTTGAAAGGGTGGTGTCATCAGCAAAAATATCAGTTTCTGTTTTTTTCCTTAGACAAAGGCAGGTCATTGATATAGATTAAAGCTTACGGAACGTCGGTGGTTCTACTCAGGTGCCCGTTCGTGCCTGAAATAATGCACGGAAGGGCACCTGAGGTCTTCCTCCACCAGTAAAGCTGGAACGTCGCGATATGACCTATACTGTGTCGATGTGACGTAAACCCCAAAACAAACAAAATATAGATTAAAAAACAGTATAGCACCTAGCACTGAGCCCTGAGGAACTCCAGTAGTTACTGAACTAGACTCTGAATATAAACCGGGTATGTAAGTTTGTTAGGTTCTGCAATCTAAATAAGAGGAAAACCAAGCAACTGAAGAAGGGTCTAAGTTATACATTCTAAGCTTTTCAATAATAATAGAGTGATCCAAATGGTCAAAAGCTTTAAAGAGATCAAGGAAAATTGAACCAACTATTTCATTTTTGTCAATAGCTGTAATCGAATCATCAATAATTCTAATCAATGCAATTTGACATGAATGATTTGACCTGAATTCAGACTGATGTTGGTAAAGAAGTTGATTTTTCTCAAGGTATTGCTTTAAATGTGAACTGACATGACGTTCAAGAATAAGTGATATCAAGGGAAGTATGGAAATTGGCCTATAATTTCTTTTATCCCTTTTAGAACCCTTTTTATGTATAGGAATGACTTTGGCATTTTTGAACGATTTAGGAAATGTGTTGTTTAGAATGCTATTATTGAATAAAGTGGTAAGTATGGGAGCAATAATGTGTAACTTTAGAAACTTAAAATCTTATTCCAAAAGCATAAAACTCTTTATATGAATAGATAAAGCTAATATTCCTAAAGCTCCATATAGCATACAATTTGGAGTACTTTGTTTCAGATTTAATATGACTTTATAATATTTTAATTGAAATTTATCTAAAATATTCACATTTTCAAATAAATGCATTACTAATGACATCATTCACGAACATTTGACGCAAAATATCTCAATTACATCATAATATGTAATAGTTATAGGTAATAGTTATAGTATATGAAACGAGTTAGTTACGAGGATATAACACTGGCTGGAGCGACATCAAGGTGTGTTTCTGCTAAAAAAAAAATTCGAGGCCGTAAGGCCGAGACAATTTTTTGGCAGAAACATCCCGAGATGTCGCCCAAGCCAGTGTTATACCCCCGTAACTAACGAGATTCATATACTACAAGAATTTGTAACAGAGCTACCAACGTCCCCCGCCTCGGGTAAGTTTTATATGAAGCTATGATCTAAGGACTTTCAGTCCAAAATTATGATCAATGCTAGATCTGCAAATGCAACAATAAATTTATTAAAGAAATAAAATGAAACACTGAATCATGTTAAGCTTTGCCCTCTAAGTGTGACCTTGACCTTGGAGGTAGGGGTGCAGGTGTTGTGCATGACATATCGTCTTATTATTGTAACTATTTGTACCAAGTATTTTCAAAATCCCTTGAACTATAAAGAAGTTATAGATGGGACACAAAATATACCCTCTAACAGACTATGTTAATCTTTGACCTCTTAGTGTGACCTTGGAGGTAGGGACCCATGTTTTGCGCCTGACATATCGTCTTATTATTGTGATTATTTGTGCAAAGTATTTTTAAAATCCCTTGATCTATGAAAAAGTTATGGACTGGACACAAAATATACCCTATAACAGACTATGTAAATCTTTGACCTCTACATGTGACCTTGACCTTGGAGGTAGGGACACTGGTGTTACGCATGACATATCATTTTATCATTGTGACTATTTGTGCCAAGTATTTTCAAAATCCATGATCTATGAAGAAGTTATGGACGGAACACAAAATATACCATATAACAGACTCTGTTTACTTTTGACCTCTAAGTGTGACCTTGACCTTGGAGGTAGAGGTGCAGGTGTTGTACTTGACATATTGTCTTATTATTGTGACTATTTGTGCCAAGCTATTTCAAAATCCCTTGAACTATGAAGAAGTTATTATTAGATCGGACACAATGTATACCCTTTAACAGATTATGTTAATTTTTGACCTCAGAATGTGACCTTGACCTTGGAGGTAGGGATGCAGGTGTTGCGCATGACACATCGTCTTATTATAGTGACTATTTGTGCCAAGTATTATCAAAATCCTTTGATATATGAAAAAGTTATGGACCGGACACAAAATATACCCTATAACAGACTATGTTAATCTTTGACCTCCAAGTGTGACCTTGACCTTGGAGGTAGGTGACCGATTTTTTGCGCATGACACATCGTCTCATTGTTGTGAACAATTGTTGCAAGTACTTACAAAATCCCTTCAAAAATAAGAAAGTTATAGACCGGACACGTCACACGACATATAACCTCAAATAGACAATGTTGACCTTGAATGAGCAAGTGCGACCTTGACCCTGAAGGTAGGGGTCTGGTTGTTGCACATGACACATTGTCTTATTATAACAAACATTTTTGCCAAGTTATTTCAAATTCCTTTGATAAATGAAAAAGTTATGGACCGGACACGAAATATACCCTGTAACAGACTATGTTAATCTTTGACCTCCAAGTGTGACCTTGACCTTGGAGGTAGGTGACCGGTTGTTGCGCATGACACATCTTCTTATTATTGTGAGCAATTGTGGCAAGTATTTACAAAATCCCTTTAAAGATAAACAAGAGGGCCATGATGGCCCTGAGGTCGCTCACCTGTATATAGGCCCCCGGAGCTGGGCCAGTTTAAACCCCAGGGCTTTTATTTGAACAGACTCGGAAGATTCACCCATTAGAAGATGTTTCACAATGTTAAGTTTTTACTACACACATATAATAAAAAACAACGATCTCCCCCCCCCCCCCCATCGGCAGGGCCAATTTTAACCAAAGGGCTTTTATTTGAACAAACTTGGTAGACACCCATAAGAAGATGTTTCATGCTAAACATCTTAGCTCTAACTCATTGGGTTTTTTAAAAGAAGATTTTTAAGTTCTTACTATTCACATATAGTTTAAAACAATGACACCCCTGGGGCGGGGCCAGTTTTGACCCAAGGGCTTTTATTTGTAGACACTTACTAGAAGATGTTTCATGCTTAATATCTAAACTCTACCTATTTAGGTTTTTTTCAAAGAAGATTTTTAAGTTTTTGCTATACACATATAAGGAAAATCAATGACCCCCAAGGCGGGGCCAATTATGACCCCAGGGCTTTTATTTGAACAAACTTTGTAGACACTCACTAGAAGATGTTTCATGCTTAATATCTAAACTCTAGCTATTTGGGTTTTTTCAAAGAAGATTTTTAAGTTTTTGCTATACACATATAAGGAAAATCAATGACCCCTGGGGCGGGGCCAATTTTGACCCAAGGGCTTTTATTTAAACAAACTTGGTAGACACTCATTAGAATATGTTTCATACTAAATATCTTAGCTCTAGCTCTTTGAGTTCT